GTTCTTGTTCAGGAAAGCTGGAGGAGGCCAAAGGGTATTGATTCTCGAGTTCGAAGGAAGTTCAAAGGTGTCACTTTGATGCCCAATGTTGGTTACGGATCTGACAAGAAGACTCGTCACTACCTTCCCAATGGGTTTAAGAAATTCGTTGTTCACAACACCAGTGACCTCGAGCTACTCATGATGCACAACAGGTATGTATATGATTATACATGACAAGGATTTCTTTTGGTCTGAGAGATTTTTCAGCTGAATTCCTCATGGTTGTGTTTGGCTTTGGCTTTGTCAGGACTTACTGTGCAGAGATTGCTCACAATGTCTCAACAAGGAAGAGGAAAGCTATTGTGGAGAGAGCTTCTCAGCTTGACATTGTTGTCTCAAACAAGCTTGCTAGATTGCGTAGCCAGGAAGACGAGTGAAGAAAGCCCTAAAAGAAAATCTAGGGTTACTTTATAATCTGTCATTGACAATTTTCAGAGTTTATTACTTTTTGGCGTTTTGAAGTGTGACTGAATTATTCAACTTGTGATCTGAGTTTTAAGATGATTAATTCAGAATCTTCCTTTGACAATGGAGACAATTTCAGATTTTCAATGTTAAACATTGAAACGAATCTATAATTATGAGACCAAATTTATCACATATAGCGTATTTAGCTCAAATATCAAACCGAATTTGTCCGAAATATCAAACCTTTGTTCAATTTTAAATCGAACCGAATTGATATTCTTAAAGGTGCGAGGTTTCGAGCATTCTACATTTCGTGCTTTGCTTCTCACGTTTTCAATGGAAATTGCTACAGACGTTTGCAGTTGTCATGGAGCTCCCGAAGGGTCGACGATTATGAATCAGGTTTCATCTCCTAAATTGGGTTTTTTTACACAGATGATTTCGGGCTAAACGAGGAACAATAGATTGGTTGGTGCCTTGAATCTGTTCGACGAAATGCCTATGAGAGATGTTTCATGGAATTCCATGACCAGTGGGTGTGTAGAATTTGGAAATATAAAGACTGCAATGAATCTGTTCGACGAAATGCCTGAGAGAAGTATGGTTTCATAGACAGCGATGGTGAATGGGTGTTTTAAGTCGGGTAAGGTTGATCAAGCGGGGATATGGCTGACTGGTATTTACAGTTTGGTAAAGTAGATGATGCCTTGAAATTGTTTAGATAGATGCCTCGGAAGAACGTGATTTCATGATCTGTGGGTTAGAGCAGAATGAGAGAATGGGAGAAGCTCTTGTTTTGTTCAAGAAGTTGTGCAAATGTTTCAAGAACATTCACTTGTGTAATCACTGCTTGTGCAAATGCTCCAGCGTTTCCTATGGGTACACAAGTTCATTGCTTCGATATCAAGTTGGGGTTTTCTATATGAAGAATATGCATCTGCTTCACTATAACGTTTTATACAATCTGCAGAAGAACAGAGGATTCTCCGAAGGTGTGGACTGCTCTATTGTCAGGATTGATTTTCCATGTGGATGATTAGGCCTTACATAGTTCTGATATTGGATGTCTCTGTGTTCCAGACAAATAACTGACATTTCAGATCGGAAAGGGATATTGACTGAAGCTCTCTTCTCATTGAGGTCTCGATCTCCTCTTCTGTTCCAAGTAATCATGAATTACTCTAGAGTTGTATCTCTAGTTGTTTAGCATTTGATTCGTACCGACTTTTTTTTTGTAGAATAGAGACTGCAATTTTTCAGCTTTTAACTCTGGTTTCACTCTGTTACAACTTACAATCGTCAGTTGATTCTTGTTAAACACTTCACATGAATGTCTCTGTTTCAAATACAAGCTTCGCATATTCTGAGCCAAGAGTTCGTTGATTCTAAGCATGATTTACAGTCTCCAATGTTTCTTATTGACTTTTACGGTTAATATCCTAGTGCTCACTATTACATGAGTTGCTTTTATATTTTGAGATTACTTCACCATTTTAACAAGAATCTGTAAATAAAATGCAGGAAGAAAGTGTTGCTAAGCTTGAGGAGTTTAGTGCTTAAGAGTTTTCTGCATACAACATTTACAAGACCAAAAGACACAGAAAAGGAGATTAAGCAATTACATTGAGAAGTCTAAGAACGGACGATTGAAGACTTGGGAAATCGCTACGGCCGGTAAATATTATCTTGAAAAAGGTATTGAGATATTAATCTAAAGATAAGAGGCTATGAAGCATATGGTTGTGGCCTTGTGTGGATGTGATTAAGTCAACAAATAGGGAACTTCCGTCAAGTTGCATCAGAAAAGTCTGAGAAATAATGGTGAAAATTGCTACTTACCAATCTGCTAAGTTATAAGATCTAACTCTCTCTCCTCTGTTTTCTCATCTGAAGATCAGTCACCAAGTCTTTCTTCTTCGTAAAATTGGTTTCCTCCCTCTCTCTCTCTCTACATATATGG